CCCCCGGGGCCCTGCCACCAAGGAGGTTTTTGACCACCTCAGTGACCTCGTCCCCAGAGATCGGAGAGCCCAACCCAAAGTCCCCAGTCCCCCAAAATCAAATAAATCATTTCTTGTTTTTTAATATCCGTTTCTAAAAGGAAAATCCAGAGACCAGAACGTACACTGACCGGTCAGGTACCTGATTTTCCATTTTGTGGTTTTGATCTGAGCCTAAAACTGAAACATGAAGCGTTTTTGGTGTAAAAAGGGGAAAAAACAGTTGTTTTTATTTAATTTTTGATTGACAATTGAAAATTGAAAGAACGAATGATACATGGATTAGAGACTCACAGATCCTTCAGCCAGATGTTTGAATAATATGTTTCTTACTTACAGGTTCTCCTGCTTCTCCTGGTCGACCATCTTTGCCCATTTTCCCTGGTTGACCCTTTACAGACAGGAAAACAACTGTTTCACAAATTCAGCAAAAAAAAGGTTTTACTCATCAAAACATTTTCTTACTATCAAGCCAGGAAGACCTGGTGGTCCTTGGATTCCTTTAGGACCCTCTTTACCCTAGAGAGAGAGAGAGCGAGGGGACCAAAGAAAATAAATTAGTAATAGCTGTGGACTGTGCCTCCCCCATCTTCAGGCCATTTTTTTATTTTTTATTTTCTGGGGAGGGCTGGGGTGGGGTTTACCTTCATACACTTTGAAAACCCAGGTGATAAGTTTTCTAAAGTGAAAATAGTACACAAAATACAGTCTGACCTTTTCTCCAGCAGGCCCTGAGGGACCAACTGGGCCAGGTTGTCCATCATTACCCTGCAGAGGGAAGAACCAGTCTTAGTGAAGAACCACAGAAACAGAAAGCAGGACTCTGGGAACAAACAAATGTACTAGAGGATCATAAACATATGTAATGTTTTTTTTTTTCTATTTTAAAATTGACTTTTAAAAGCATCAACAGTTTTGTCTCAGAGCAGAATGAGTTTAAAAACAATGCAGACCCACAAAATACAAAACATAATTTAATCAACGTTTCTTCTAACTTAGAGGCCCTCATATTTTGACAGTGTTGTATAAAGTACCTCAAAGTGATACTTGAGTAAAAGTACAAGTATCTTATCATAAAAATACTTTGGTAAAACTTAAAGTCTTCTCTAAAAATATTACTTGAGTAAAAGTCTTAAAGTATCTTATCATAAAACTACTTTGGTAAAACTTAAAGTCTTCTTTAAAAATATTACTTGAGTAAAAGTCGTAACGTATCAGATTTCTTTTGTACTTAAGTCTTAAAAGTACATTTTTGACACAGATCTACTTAAGTTTTAAAGGCACTGTGTGTAGGATTTGTTGTTCTCAGCGACATCTAGTGGTTGAGTGGTTGAATCATCCTCCCTGGTCC